CCCCCCCCCCCCCACGGGCCTTGAGAGCTGTGGATGGCTTGCTCAGTATCATTATTCTTGACTGACTGTTTTTGAAAGGTTGCCTTGCTGGCGGTTGCTGGTTTGTGGTCTTTCCTCTAAACTTCCGAACTGGTAAAAATGCCTCCGTTGTGACAGCAATACTTCCATCTGGCTTTGTGCCGCTTTGGGGTAAGAACTACTCTCAGCCCTCCCCTCCCACCCCCCACCCCCCTTTTTCTCCTTCAAAGAAAAAGCACCCAGGATAGGGGCCAGCAAGCTCCCACCCTCAGCTTCCATGAGTTGATCAGTTTACCAGATTGATTTTTCTTGTGCCGAGAAAACAACTTGACAGGGATATGGTGAAGAGTGAAATCTTTCTTTAAAAAAGAAAAAGGACAAGGGGGATCCGATAGAGAACGTGGCAGGAACCAGGGAGGCCACAACTCTGGAAACTAATAGGCAAGGGTCACAAACAATGTGGACACGCCCAATGGACCTGAGACCCCGGCATGGCGGGGGTTTAGTTTCTCAGTCTGCATTCCCATCACTGAGCGGACTTTTCTCCCGCGGCTCTGACACGCTACATACAGCTGACTGTCTCACACTGGCCTCAAATCCCTAAGTTCACAGCGAACTCGTTACCTTGGTCCGGCTCTCCTATAATGACACATGTACACATTTATCGACTGGGCAAAATTTACAACCGGCTGGTTCCCCCTCAGCTCCCCAGGATGGGACTAGCGGGGGGCAGAGTAAACAGTCTGGCCTTTACGAGAGCGGTCGGCGGCCAACGGCAGGACTCAGGCGAAAAACGCGTGGCAGAAGACGGCCACGGCCAGCAAGATGATGCCGTTGATGTTCACCACTGTCCTCCACAGAGGCTTCTCGGACGTGTCGGTCAGCTTCAGCTTCATGGCTGCCTCCTCTTCCTTTGTCATCTTGGGGCCCTTCTGCTGGTCCAGGCCACAAAACATGTCGTAGGCGCTCCTGCAGCATCCTTTTTTCTCCTCGGCCACGTCTGTGTTGGGGAAAAGGAATAAAAGAATTGTTGGAGCCCTAACCAGTTTGGCTAGTGGATAGAGCGTCGG